AAATTGCATACCTTAGACCCACGGGGGTGCCTCTCTTTTATAATATACTCAATCCAAGTCCCACTAGAAGTATGACTTCTATGAACTCTAATTTACTGTTTACTCTGGACTCTTTAAGAGATAAAGATAAACTCCCTAAGAGCTTTATCCTTATCTTGGTTAAGTCCCCTTTTTGCCTTAGGACTCTTGCCCCTTATCTCGGATTCCGATATCTCCGGAGATGACCTCGGCTTCTCCGAGATTACCTCGGCTTAACTACCAGGGCACGTGGCACCTCGGCTGACACGTCGGCGTCACCATGCCACGTGTTGGTATTCAGAAAATATATCCCCACAATTTATTAATCATATAAATAAAAAAAATAATATTTTCATACTTTTTTTTTATTAAAATGTATAGTTATATCTGTTTATTTCAGTATTTACTCATTATCTGTATTTGTTTCAATTATGTTAGTTTTACTAAAAGAAAAATCAGTATAATTATATTAAAAGCATGAGTTTAATTATATTTTTTCTAAGTCTCAGAGAGGGTGAATGTAATTTATCTTTTTACTTTTTACCTTCGACCTTAATTTGATTTTTATTGTTCGTAATTTTTACTTTTTTGCTTGACTATATTATGGTGTCGTTTGATAATTGGGTTGAATTGACTTTTTGTTTAAATCAATCATAAAAAGATAAAATAAATTAAAAAATCAATAAGATAAAATGTCATATTTAAATCATAAGGAAGATTTATTAGAATTTTTTTTTTCTAGTGTTTGTATCCCAATTAGTCCATAAGATATTATTATATTCCAATAAGTCCTATTATTTGAATATTTGATTTATCAAATCTTAATTCTCATATTTAAGGTATTTTACGGACATTTCTACTTTTACAAATATTTTTTGAACGGTTAGCAATTTAGTGATGTGAACATTTATATTTTACAATATGAATATTCACATTGACGTGTGAATGTTCACTTTGACAGTGTGAACATTCATATTGACAATATGAATATTCACATTGATATGCTAACATTTACATTGATGGTGTGAACATTTACATTACGGAACATTCATACTGTAAATGTAAATATTATTAAGAATATTTTGGTAAGTATGTCACCATAAGACTTATTGGAATATAAAAAAATAATGTGGACTAAATAAAACATAAGTAGGTGAAAAGAGATTTATGAAAACGTACCTTAAATTATAATCATTTTCATTTTTTCTTTCATAAAAGTTAAAAAAATTAATCCTAATAAAAAAAATTAATCCTAACAAAATTTTTAACCTAAACTAGAAAAGCCAAAAAAACAACCAAACTTCCCAAATGAAACCATAACAATAACACTCCAAAGTTTATTAAAGCAAATAGTAACACTACCTTTGAATTCTCAATGGTAGTGTTAAAGGTCCAAATTCATATCTTGTTGCTAAAGTATACAAAAAGAGAATTATAGTAGACAAGTAATAAAAAAGATGGGTTGATTTGATAGAAAGGAGTTGGCTTTTCAAGTTCAAAATTGAAATATGCATTGAAGATGTGGCCGTTTGTTGAATTTGGTTGGCTCAAACTCGATTCAATTGTTTTGCCTGTGATGTGAAATGAACAAAGAAACAAAGTTCAAAAGTAGAAATGTAACTCACTTGCCAAACTTTTGTGCGTGTCTAAATCTTAGGAGTGTTTACATATCGAGTTAGATTGAGTTGTAAGTCATTCATCACTCGATAGAATAAGATTAGATTGAGAAAATCTCATTTGCATTTGACTATTTATGATTTCAAAATTTACTAAACAGATTGGACAAATTAGTGAGTGGATGCAAATCGAATTAGTAGATTAACCTTTACTATTTCATGTCTTTTTGAGCTTATTTTTGTTTTTGATTTGGGCTTTTTTAAGTTTTTTTTTTTCCTTTTTTTTCAACCTTTTTTAAACTTTTTTTTCTTTCTAAAACAATGTTTAGGCCTATTTTTTTGTCATTTTTTTTGGAAAGAAAAAATAGAGCATCTTTTTCAATACTTTAACAAATAAATACAATGGGGAAATTCTAATATGCACCCCTTTAAAAATGATATACTAGATGTGTTTTTAATTATATCATTTTCTTATTTAGTTATGTCTCATATTGTGTTTAATTATGACTTTTTTTTTTTTTAGTTATGACTCAAAAAATTAAAAATTTGTTATTTTTCTTTTTAGTTATAAGGTTAAAAGGTGCACACAATAATATTTTCCCAATACAATATATAAATAATATGTAGATATACCAATATTTTAATTGAAAACCTAATGTCATATGTGTTGTACAAATTGTGTAAATCAAACAAAATAAATAGATTCATATTGAACAACCACTTTGAATGTGTGATATCCTAGTTTTCTTAAAACAGATTCATCGCCTCCTGATGGATGCTAAAGAAACGTCGGCATCTGTCTTCCAGGATACGACAGTCGAAACCACAAGCACCTTCTGAATAGTTTTGACAAACTTGATAATGGTTACACTTTTTCTAACAAGAACCTAAGAAGGAAACAACAAAAGAGAATAGAAATTTTTTCTTTAGTATAAAAAATCATCTCCAACTTTTTTTTATCTCAAAACATCTTCATTTTCCATTAAAAATCTCTCTACAACTCTTCTTTTAAGTTGGAGGGGAAAGACCATTTTTATACTTGTAAGGAAGAGGTCATAGTCATGAAGGCTACCATAAACTTAGCATCAATGGCCATTAACTCTAGCCTTTAGGGCTAAAGGCTAGAGTTACAAAGGTATAAAACTCCCATGTGCATAATGATCATCAACTATATTATCAAAAGATGAGAGTTACAAAGGTTGAATAAATAAATAAATAATATGTATATATAGCAAAAAAGAATAGAAATTTTTTCTTTAGTGTAAAAAATCATCTCCAACTTTTTTTTATCTCAAAACATCTTCATTTTCCATTAAAAATCTCTCTACAACTCTTCTTCTAAGTTGGAGGGGAAAGACCATTTTTATACTTGTAAGAAAGAGGTCTTAGCCATGAATGCTACCATAAACTTAGCATCAATGGCCATTAACTCTAGCCTTTAGGGCTAAAGGCTAGAGTTACAAAGGTGTAAAACTCCCATGTGCATAATGATCATCAACTATATTATCAAAAGATGAGAGTTACAAAGGTTGAATAAATAAATAAATAATATGTATATATAATGCTATTTAAATAATTCAATTAGATGGGTCGCAAAATGAATATAGGCATTGAGTCACAGTCTAATCTACACCCAGACTAAAACATGTGCACAAGACAAGTTTAGTCCAACATAACACATAGCCCATGCCCAAGACTAAGTCCAACACATGCACATACACAAGCCTAGGCTAGTCCAGACTAAGGCCTCGTTTGGCAAGTGACTTTTTTAGGCAACAAGCTAAAAAGTCACTAAAAAAATAAAAAAACCAACAACTCATATCAAAAAGTCAAAGATTCAATTTTCTCTCTAATTTTTGCACATCTTTTTGTAAAAAGCCAAATAGTCATCTCAAACATACTAGTTTTTTTTACATCACATTTTAGCCAAAAAGCTAAAAAGTTACTAAAAAGCCTGTTCCCAAACGAGGCCTAAAATTGAACTTAAGTCCAAGTCTAAGCCTAGGCCCAAGCTCAACTTTTACTGATACCCACTTTATAAAACAATTTTCATTCAGAACTCAATGGTTTCAGCCCATCATTTTTATATTATAATTTTCTCATTTAAGAGATTACAAAACCACGCAAACCTATCTCAACCGGAGGTTGAGTCCCACTTTAATTTTTAATTAAAGTTGCCGAAAATCATTATTTTCCAATAATATGATTGGGTTGAGTTCCCCATATAGCTTATGATTCAGTTTTTATTTTTATTTATTTATTTTTAACACTTTTGTTTTTGTTTTTTGTAATTTAGTTTTTGTATTATCTATTTTAATTCATTTTAATTTATATAAAAATCATTAAGGGGGGGGGGGGGGGGGGGGGGGGGCCCGTTATTTTATATGCGTTCTTTTATAATATATATTATTATATATAAAAGAGTGTTTCTAATTCTTAATTTTTTTTTTCAATCAAATTTATATTTGATAAAAAAAAGTGCTCAATAACCATATTCAATCCATTCATCAAATCAAGGGAGATATATATTTTTCACTAAATTAAGAATTTAATAAATAATTTGATGAAAATTTAAGAAGATGAACTATTGAAAATGATTTTTTTAATATCGAATTTGACCAAAAGATAAATTTAAGATAAGAGAAATCTTTTCAAAAAATTTGATAAAAAAAATTAGAATACATCATATTTAAGATCCAATTTTCACACTGGCTAGGCAGTTTACACAAGCTCTAGTTTACTTTAAGCCCATTGATTCCAGCCCAAAGTTCTAATTAGTTACAGGCCCACTCACAACTCGATAGAGTGACTCAGTTCATCAACTCGATGGAGTGACTCAGTTTAACCCCCCTAGAAGCATCGATCGAATCCTTTCGATTCTCAAACTCAGACCTCCCATATCGCAAGTTCTAGAGGAGAGAGAGAAAGAGAGAGAGATAGAGAACAAGCATATTTAAGTCTCGTTTGGGAACAGGCTAATTTAGTAACTTTTTGACTATTTGGCTAAAAAGGTAGGTAAAAAAAACTTGTATGTTTGGGATGACTTTTTGTCTAATTACGAAAAGATGTGCAAAAAGTAGAGAGAAAAGAGAATCTTTGACTTTTTGGTATGAATTGTTGACTTTTTAGCTAATTTTAGTAACTTTTTGACTAATTGACTAAAATAGCCTCTTGCCAAACGAGGCCTTAAGATCCAATTTTCACACTGGCTAGGCAGTTTACACAAGCTGTAGTGTCCTTTAAGCCCATTGATTCCAGCCCAAAGTTCTAATTAGTTACAGGTCCACTCACAACTCGATAGAGTGACTCAGTTTATCAACTCGATGGAGTGACTCAGTTTAACCCCCCTAGAAGCATCGATCGATCGATCGAATCCTTTCGATTCTCAAACTCAGACCTCCCATATCGCAAGTTCTAGAGGAGAGAGAGAAAGAGAGAGAGATAGAGAACAAGCAAGAAGATGCCGAAGAAGATGGGCGTGAACAGCAAAGCCGAGGAGGCTAGGGCACGGAAGACAGCCACCGAAGCCGAGCGCAAAGATCGCGATGCTCGAGATAAAGAAGACCAGTACTGGCGCGAAGCCGAGGGCTCGAAGTCGCGCGCCGCCAAGAAGCGGGAGGAGGAGGCAGAGAAACGCGCCGAGGCAGCCGCTCGCAAAGCAGAGGCGCGCCGGATCGCCGAACAGGAGGAGAAGGAGCTCGAGAAAGCTAGCCGCAAGCCCGATAAGAAAGCGAACCGAGTGTCGATTCCGGTGCCTAAAGTCACCGAGTCGGAGCTCCAGCGGCAGAGGGAGGCGGAGCAGGCGCAGATTTTGAAGAGAGCGGAGGAGGCGAAGCGGCGGCAGAGCCGGACTCAGGGAGAAGAGGAGTACGAGAAAATAGTACTCGTTGCGAATACGAATCGCGATGATTCGATAATTGAGGCAAGGTCGGTTGAGGATGCGATTGCGCAGATGGCGGTTGCGGATAGTTTGCCGGTCGATAGGCATCCCGAGAGGAGACTCAAGGCATTGTTTAAGGTGCGTTTGATTCAACTTTTATTGTTGATAGTTGTTTTGTTGATTGAAAATTGTAAAATTTCATTCCGATTATGTAAATTATGTCTTGTTGTACTTAAATTGATTATTGAAGTATTATTATGCTTAACTTGTTTAGGAGAAGCAATTCATTGTAAAGATAGGTTCTTCAAAAAGCTTTATCAATACATCATTTTTATAATATACCTCTTCTTTATTTTAGGTAGAACTTTGTTAGATAGGAAGTTGCATGATGAGTCTGGTCATTCTAATGCTGAGTAAGGATGGGATCTGTATTATGGATTTTAATTGAATCTTTTAATGTTTGAATAGGGGAGCATGTATAAGTGTGGTTGACAAATAATTGTAATTGATAGATGCACTATGAGAAGTAGGGTTGCATAAGTGAACTGACCAACCCAAGAATGGAACTGTACCCACCCCGAACTTGGTAGCTTAGTATGGTTAGGTTCTGAAGGAGTCACAACTCGATTGCAATTCAGAATTTCTTAGAACTGACCACTTATTCAGGTATTGACGTTGGGTTATTGGTTTACCAAATTAACCTGAGAAACTACTAATATAGGTTAAATTTTTTTTTGCAATATAGGTTTACTAATATTGCATACAATGACATGTTTATGTAGTGGAAACTTGGCACCCTTTAAGGCAATGTGGGAAGTGAGAAGAAAATAATGAATATTGATATTCACACGGTTTATATAAAAGAAGATTGTATTTCATGCAACAGGCTTCCTTTTACCACTAGCTATATGAGGGGTGGTAGCTTTCCCATTTACACATGGGTTTCAATCTTTTGACGCTTTTTTAACAGTGCTCTATCAAACAAGGCAGAATTTTTAACAATGCTCTAACACACCCAAATAAAGCTGTCACGTGTGTTATGGATTTGTGATAGTGATCTTTTGTCGCTTTTCTAACAATGCTCTATCAAATGAGGCAGAAAAAATTGGGGGTGTTTGTGTGTGTGTGTGGGTGTGTTAAAGCTGCCACGTGTTATGGATTTGTGATAGTGTATTTATGGCAAGGATGATTCTAGCAGAGCAAAGACAGGTGGAACAAGTAATAAGCAAGAAGTTGGTGTTAACTATTGGGGGCAAGGAGGCTAGGAAGACAAAGATGGGGAAATTGCACTCATTTATTTAATACTTCTTTTATTTATTTTTTCTTGGCTAGACATGATAATGAGGGGACTAGAGTCCTTCATATCGAACGTGGGAGTCCAATTGGTTACTAATTGACCTGTAAGGCCAGTGGTATCCTCTGTCCCGATTTTGGGATCTCCCTTAAATTGTTAATTGTACTCGAGGTATTTGCCATGTAGCTGCCATGCATGCACTTTCTTTTATGCATAATCAATTCCAAGCTCAGTAAGTGGAGGACATTATTGACAAGCTCTGTTATCAGAATCTAACGATTCGCGATTAGATTTGTAATTTTTGCAAAATCGATATGAATCTATGAGTGAACCTATTTTAGAAGTGAATCTCAAGTGAATCGCAAGATTTACAATCGATTCACGATTTGATTCACTTTTTACGATTTATGTAATTTTTGAAATTATCATGTCTGATATATTTATCAACTCTTTTTTTCTTCATATTTTTAGTAAAAATAACATAATATAACTTCTAATAGCGTTTAGTTCTAAAATAACCATTATATATATGATTTGTTGTTATTTTAGTGATTATGAAATTTTTAATAGGATCCAATCAGATTTAATTAGACCTAATATATTTTTAATCTTTCTTCTCATTTTTTTTCGTCAAAGAAATCATAATGTGTTCTAAAAATGTTAAGATTAAAGTAACTTATACCATGAATTATTGATTCCTATTTTATTAAAGGGTAAATTACATTGACATCCTCTGAGGTTTCTGTTTAATACAGATCTCTCTTCACATTTTAAAAATTAAACTTACCTCCTTGTCAAATTAAAATAATATATTTGTCTTTTAACATTTATACATGTAAAATATAAAACAATGCAGATATTTTGTTCATGTCAACAATCATCTTCTAGTAAAATAACAAATATCTTCTTTGGTTTAACTCACACAATAAATTGAATTTTTATTTTTTATTTTTTGTGTTTTTTTTATTTATTTATTTTATTTTTACTGATTTTTATTAAGCAATTATTTATTTATTTATTTATTTATTTTTTTCGATACACCTAATCTAGATATACTTAAGTAGTATAATATTTTGTGCCTTTTTTTTTAAATTTTAAAATTCACCAAATACAAAAAATAAAAAAATACAAAAATAAAAAAATACAAAAATTTAATATTTTATCTTATTTTGTTGTATTGAATGAATTTTTTTAAAAATATTTTGTACAAATTTTATACTTTTTAAATATATTTAGATTAAATTGATCTAATCTAGATATATGGTGGAAATAAAAATGAAAAATGATATTCGTATATAAAAATTTATATAAAAAATATCATAAAAATATTGTGATAGCGATATTGTTGTAAATATAAATCATGTTTACGTGTATTTTGTTTTAAAGTGAAAGGTTACCATTAAGCTATATCATTGTGTTTGAAAATTCTATATAAAATTTATGTTTGTATCTCATTATTCAATAAGAATATGTTCAAGTAGAATTTAATGATGGAAAGTTGTAAAATGTAATCATGATGATAGGAAGAAGAAATGGTAAGATGGTCATTTAGAAAATTTTAGAGTATGACATTAGCAATCCAGGGGTAATTTGTAATGAGATTACAAATATTTTGTGCCTTTTATACTTAAGTAGTATAATATTTTGTGTTTTTTTTTTTTAATTTTAAAATTCACCAAATACAAAAAATAAAAAAATACAAAAATTTAATATTTTATCTTATTTTGTTGTATTGAATGAATTTTTTTTAAAATATTTTGTACAAATTTTATACTTTTTAAATATATCTAGATTAAATTGATCTAATCTAGATATATGGTGGAAATAAAAATGAAAAATGATATTCGTATATAAAAATTTATATAAAAAAAATCATAAAAATGTTGTGATAGCGATATTGTTGTAAATATAAATCATGTTTACGTGTATTTTGTTTTAAAGTGAAAGGTTACCATTAAGCTATATCATTGTGTTTGAAAATTCTATATAAAATTTATGTTTGTATCTCATTATTCAATAAGAATATGTTCAAGTAGAATTTAATGATGGAAAGTTGTAAAATGTAATCATGATGATAGGAAGAAGAAATGGTAAGATGGTCATTTAGAAAATTTTAGAGTATGACATTAGCAATCCAGGGATAATTTGGAATGAGATTACAAACATCAGGAAGGGGAATGTATTTTTCAAATGTGAAGAGCATTAAACAGAAACCTCAAGGGGTGTCAGTGTAATTTACCCTTTATTAAATTAAATATGACTGATGTCAATTATACCTTTTAAAATGTTTTAGGCTTCAAAATAAAAGATCATAAATAATTTTTTCTTATTATTTAGTCATTATTACTTGGAAAAGTATGTATGCTTATTGTCCAAATATCAATATCGTTGTTAAATTATTATTACTTTATAAATTGAGAGTTTTGTCTTTTTTTACTGTCTTTATTATGAATGGTTGATAAGAAATAACTAAAAAAGAAAAAAGGTAAAACGGTGATCTTATATAGGAATTTTTGTTAACTTTTTACCTATAAAACTACATGATCATCATCATTCACAACAACATTTTTATTGATTTAAGTCTAAATATTTTATATTCATAAGATATATTTAATATTCAAAGGTGTAAATATATTTTTTAAGTAATTTAGAAAAAATGACCGAATCTTTACGATTCACGACTCAATTCGCTTTGCAATTCGGTACAAGGCCATTTCAATTCACGATTTGAATTCTGATTTGACAACTATGTTTGCAAGTAGTATGCACATACACTTTTAGGCCCCGTTTGTTTTGGGTGAAAGAGAGGGTATTGGGATTGCTAATACTAAGGTATTAGTAATAGCCTTGTTTGTTTTGGGAGAAGGCCTTGGGACTATTAATCCCTTGGTATTACTAATACCCTTGGAGAGGGAATTGGTAAGGAGGAGGTAGAGATGGTATTAGAAAAATAGTGGGAAATTTTTTTTAAAATATAATTTTTAATTTTTTATATTTTTTTATTTGTTTTATTATTTTATATAAAAATAATTTAATAATTCCTCACTATTAATCCCCTCACTATCAATCCCCTCACTACTAATCCCCTCACTATCAATCCCCTCACTAACAATCCCCTCACTATTAATCCCCTCACTATCAATCCCCTCCATTCTATCTCTGGAAACAAACGGGGCCTTAAGGTCTCAGGTGCATGTGGTTCAAGAATTAAGTTGTGATTGCTAGTACAATACTTCAAGCTGTTCAACATACCCATGAGCATGAGAGAGTTACTTTTAGTTATTAGGTCATTATCATTAGACCTTGTTTTTTCTCAATCAGTGGTGTGCTCCTTGGATCTCCTTATCTTATGATCTTGTCTTTTGCACTGTATTTTCCACCATAGTGATTTTTCTATTATAATAAAACTCTAATGTAAAGCATGATGTTGATGGGATGGCTATGGATATCTAATTAATTTGACGTTTGGTATGCATGATAAGCATAATGATAATTACATGCGATCTGACATTTAGACTGATAAAAGACCAATCCTGTGGTATGTTGAGAATTGTTATTCTTACATCAGGTGTGAATTGATGCTACCTATACATTCGCATACTCATTATTCCAAAATACCTACTGAAGGATTTTCGCATGTTTTCATATGCTCATAGGCTTTTGAAGAAGCTGAGCTTCCCAGTCTGAAGGAAGAGAAGCCTGGTCTTACTCACACCCAGTATAAGGACATGATTTGGAAGCTTTGGAAGAAATCTCCTGACAATCCTCTGAACCAGGTAAACTTATGAACTGATCCTCTAGACAATTTCCTAAGATGATTTGATTTATATTCTAGTGGTTATCATTTACTACTCTTATAGTTTATCAAGATTATTCTCACAACTGTCCTTTCTCATTTTCCTTTCCTACTGTTACTTTTATTTATTTATTTTTTATTAATATGACCAATCAGATGTTTATCTGTTGATACAATCCTAAATCATTTAAGGGTTTTTAGAAATTTTTAGGAACTTTATATCATTTAATAAGTGCAATATCCCCAAAGCATTTGGTAAGTCAGCAGGGAATCAACTTTTTCAATTAGTTTTGTTGAACAAGTCGGAATTTTAAAATTAATTGTTTAAATTTCAATGGAAAAAATTCTTCAACAATTTCTGTTGCACTTAATCATGCTGAGGAGTGGTTCTCATAAAATTGTTGAAAGTTTTTTTTTATTTTTTTATTTTAATTTTTAAATTTTGCGATGGATGTGTACATGATTTTCTGTTCACTTGCGTTGCCTATTGCTTCTATCTTTTCTTGCTTGGGCATTGGTTTGATATTTCACGTTATTGAAGGTGTGGATATCATGGGATTGTATTATTCTGGTTTAAAGTGAGCCGATGATTTAGTGATTCTAGTGGAGCTTTAGCTTTACCCAATGTTAGAAAGGAAAAAAAAAAAAAAAAAACCACTTTTCAAAGTAATCCATGAAAAGGCTAGCTAAGTTGTTGGGCTATCTTTTATTTTTTATTTTTATTCAAGAAGTTAAACCTATATGTTAGTATTATCCTATATCCTCCCTCAGGGAACAATGACAGGACCCAAGGAATGAGGGCTTCCTGCCAGCTATAGTTTACCACCAGTTGTTTTGCAATGAACCGTGATTCAAGTGTGGTTTGGGATTGGGCTTTTTATTGATTTTTTTTTAGTAAACTTATTTTTAAAAATTTTAAAAAAACTTTACACTTTAGGTTCTACTCGACTAGTCTAACCAGAAATGTGACAAAAAAAGTTGTCCGCTAAAAAAGACAAAAAAAAAAAAGCCGAAAAGAGACCTTTTTTTTTGTCTTCAGTGATTTTTTTTGGGTTCTTTTTTTTTGTTGAACTTTTTTAATCTTTCTACACTAGATGGACCAGAAATGTAATTTTTTTTTTACATAAATTTGGAAGAAAAAAAAAAAAATCACTAAATACAAAAAAAGTCGGAAAAAATGTGACTTGTTTAACTGGATGCCAAACCACACCTCAGTTAAGCTTATATTGGAATTGCCTTAGCAGACATGATAGGGTTCCACTAAACCTGCCTTTTACACCACCATATGCCTCTCATTCTATGTAGGTTCAAAATTTGACTTGGAACTTAATTTGACAAACTCAGGGGTCGTTTGAGAACAAGCCTTTTTAAGGACTTTTTGGTTTTTTGCCTAAAATATGAGATGAAAAAAACTAATATGTTTAGGATGACTTTTTGATTTTTTACGAAAAGATATACAAAAAGTAAAGTGAATGAAAATGAATGTTGATTTTTTGGTGTTTGTTGCCTTTTTGGGTTTTTAATGACTTTTTGGCTTTAGGCTACAATTGAAACTCCCCAAATGACCCCTTTCTTTAAATGGACAAGGTTGAGCTAACCCACTTAGTAATCAACTATATATGCGTCATTTTTTGAGATTGCTTTTTCTAGTTATTTGGTGGCATGCTGTGGCAGGTTGGACTGCTGTTCTAGATTGTCAAGTGGATAAATGAGTTCGTTTGCACGCGTGTTAGGTTTGAGTTGCTCCACTTGCAACGGTGGTGGAGAGGTCTTAGGCCTATGTTCTGGCCATTGGGGTCGATGATCAACCCCTTCAGTTGGGCCGATGGTATGGGTTGGGTTGGGATTGGGTTAGCTTGTGGTTTTCGTGACCAACATTGATGGGGTTGGATGTGGGTTGTGTAATTTTAAACCAATTGTGAATTACCTGAACTCGACCCAACATTGTTTGGAGTTGCATTATATTGGTATGTCATATGAGGCTATGCAGGCAAATAATTATTCCCTTCAAAGGAGCTGTCTGGTTGCAGGCTATATTTTGCATGTGGAAATGGCCCTCTTTTAAATTAATGTAAATGGGAAAAGAAATAAGTACCTTTGCTGGTAAATTAGTTGGCAAGCATGGAAAGCGGTCTGATAGATATTCTGTCTCCATATCAATATTTGGGATGGAAGGGCAGAGGCTTTTGGTGTCCCCACCAGTTAAGGATTGTATCCTACTTATGACTAGACTATGTTGTTTGTAGCTCATTGTTTTTCTGGTGTTCTAGGTCTTGAAAAACCACACTTATTCATTTTGAACTTGGTGGTTAAACAGCAATTACCAGCTCTTTATAGATCTTCTGATAATGGCTAGCATGTCTTAATTTTCAATTAGATCTGAACCCGCTTCCTACATATCCACCTCTCACTGAATATTTTGTTGTTTACTTTCTGATCTTGATGTGTTGCTGTTATTTCTGTTTCTTACTCCATTCTAATTTATATATGCAGGTTGTGGAGTGATAACTAGCGCATCTCCAAACACAATGTAGGCAAAATTGCTTGGGCTTGACTTGAAAAGGGTGCTACAATTTCATGTGTATTTGGGCATATATAAATTATTTGAGGTTTTCGGCTTCTGTAGAAAATCTGTTTATGTGGTGTTTTTCAGGCTTTTGATAAAGCCTGATTGAAGTAATAATGCTTACCTTTCATCTTTTACCCAATAATTTCAGTGCATCTATGGTTGTGACGATTGTGATTATCGGGACTTTTTCTTTGATTATTGTTGAGTTTGTAAACAACTAATTGGGATGATGCATTAGCAAAGAAGTTGCATGAAGCATGAAGTGGCGGTTCTATGTGGGCTTCATCATGGAACATTTTAAAGAATGGTTGATTTGTGTTGCTTTCGTTCTTGAAGTTTGGATTAACGATAAGAAGCTTTGATGATGTAATTTTTAGGGTTGTGTATATGCAACTTTGCACAGTTACCGTTTGCAATGTTTAAATGTTATTTTGTGGTTTTTGCTGAGGCTTTTGTTTCTGAAACTCTGTTCCTCCACAGAGATATGAAAATGATTGGCCTGATATGGCATATATGGGATGTAGGGGTGCAATTCGGGCGGGTTCGATTGGATTAGGAGGTTGTTCAAGCTTAGCTTAAGTTGTCCGGAGACTTGTCCAGGTTTGCCCAGATCCGAATTGTAACTCGAGGTTGGCTGTGTCCAAGTCCGACTCAAGTTAAGCTCGAATTGCTTGAGTTGTTTGAATTGTAAATGATTTTTTTTTTTTTTTGGTAATTACATTATTAAATTATTAAAATTTGACTCTATTTACCTTTTTGTATTTATTTATAGAAAATTATTAATGCCATCAAAATTAATAATTTATATAATGTAAGAAAGATGTCACTATAGTAGTCTTTATAATTTATGAATGAAAATAAAAAAAAGAGCAAAATTTTATGTTATTTGTATATATAATATATATTTAATATGATTTAATAATTTAAATTATTTTAATATCATGTAATGACTTATAATTTATATATATATTTAATATTTTTATATATCTATTTATGTATAATTTGGGTTTCGAGTTGCTCGGGTTGTTTGATGTTTTTGTCCAAGTTCGTTCAAATCTAATTTGAATTTCTGAATTTTTGTTTAAATCCGTATCGAATTTAAAAATATCTTATTCAAGCCTTTAAAAAAAGTTGAGCCAATCTAATTTGCACCTAATGGGATGACCTGGCCTAGTCTATTTCTTTCATTAATTGATCATCCTTCTCTATGGCAAGAGTTGCTCAAGAACAAAGAGAAAAGATAGTTGGCACAAAATGTTTCAGAGAAGTGAAGTGTGCGGACAAGCACATCATTTCTATTATTATTATTTTCTTGTGTCAATGATTCCAGCATATTACTGGCTGTTAGATGTTAATCCGAAACTATGAACTTGTTCGATATTTACTTGTTTGAAAGTCTTTTAAACCTGGTCAAATTTATAAATTTAAATAAATTGAAGATAAGTACCCTTCTAATTTGAATAAAAAACAAGCAACAAAGAAATGAATCTACCGCCTCCACCTCCTCTATCACCCAATCAACACCTCCTCCATTGCCCCGGCACCACCATCTATTGAGAAAAGAGTCTACTTATTTTAATAAAGTAAATGTGTTGGTCAAAATGATTTGTTCGAATTGTATCCTATTTAACTTAATTCACTTAAATTTGTTATTAAATGGATGGATTTGAGTTGATTTATTTTAATGCATAGATTGTTTTTCACCTGCTCATACCAAACTATTTCTATGAGGTCTGTGTTGAGGGTCAGTGATTGGACCATAGCGTTTAAGAGTTGGGTTTTTCATACTTAGAAAGCTTAAAGCTCTTAAGAGGGGTCCATTTGAAAGTGGTTGAGGTTGCAACAATCACTTCGGGGTATTGATTCTTTTTCAGTACCTGCTTCAATAAGCTGACCTACTTCTTGCACACTACAAACATTGCATTGATGTGGCAAGAATTTGTGCTCCGTAGCTTAGTGATACTGTGAAATCCCAAGGCAAATTAGAATTTGAATTGAGTAACATAAATAAAATTAACCATACAGTTTAGATTTGCAGAGAAGGAATGAAGAATGCCCACCAAACATTTTTAAATGCTCAACCTATGGACTAGCTGGTGCAGTTAATGGAAAAGGGAGTAAAAAATGAGCAAAAAGTTCAGTCAAATGGAATAAGAAATGTCCAAATCACAGAGATGAGATAAAGAACTTGGAAAACAATGAAATTTCTCTGTTCTGAAATGGGATGCTGCGAAAACATTAAACCCAATTCTGGTAATGATGGCCAAGAGCCTGAAGAAGATCAATTGCAGATGGTGTTCACTCCTCTGGACCAAGACAACGAAGACGAAGAGAACAATTATAGTCAGTCTAAGCTCCGATAACTGCAGCAGAGAAATTCTGCTAAGATTGCTTGCTTCGGTGGCCATGCCCGGTGACTATGTGCTTGCTGTTCATGTGCTAGAACCAAATGATACATTTGACACAAACAGTTTCCAAATCCATGAAGATCTCTGCAAATCCAAGCAGGTTACAAAATTTACACTTTCTTCATATTAAAGTCTGGAATCAATTGACTGATGTGTTGCTTGATTTTCTTCTATGGCTTGTTCATGTAGGTAGATTTCCAAGTTAAGGTCTGTGGAGGAGGTTGCTACATTACTGAACTAGCCCATCAAGTCCGAATCAACTCTGCAACAATTCTAGCAGTTGGATGCAGCTCACCATGGTACTGGAAAACTCTCTCTCTCTCTCTCTCTCTCATAGGTGTTTGTTATGTTGGGGCAGTATGAATTTTGGTAAATACTAGACACTAACCACTATTTATTGGTATTTCTGCACTTATGACCTGTTGCCCTAATTTCTATGTATATATGGCTGAGCATTACTAATAATCCTACAAATTTGTTGGATTAATTATCCATTGGATTAATAGTCCTAAATCAAAATGTCAAAACAAACATAGGATGATTGGGTCCACGGATTAATAATCCTAATCCCATGCTTTAATCCTTCCAATCAAACATGCCCTTTATGATCATGGGTTAAATTACGTAAGTCTTTTTATTCTTTGTGCGCCTGTGATCTATATAATTCTTATGTGTTTGCTTTTCTTTGTTTTCGTGTCTTGCTGATCCTGATTTGGTTTTATGGATTCCTGTGCAGGCCGAGGAATTCCACTGTTGCCAATTACTTGAAAGCATTGCCTCCCACTTGCTCCCTTCTGGTAATGGACAATGTTGGAAGAATCTTGATGCAGAGGCAGGGAAGTTCCCAGGAAGGCTCTGCAAGTAGAGTCCTTCAATATTCTCAGTCCTGTGTATCAAATTATAGAAACTTGGAACAATTAGGAACTACCCGTCAGATTCAAAAATCATTGACAATGCCATCTTCCTCAAAATCACCATCACTGCAACAAGCTGAAAATTTGACAAGGCGGAGCCATAGAAAGGCGTTGCAGATTCCAGTCTGCATGACACATAAACTGTTTGAGAGATTGACACAGAGAAGGCGCTTCACATTAGAGGAACTTAGCTGTGCAACTAATGATTTTAGGCCTGAAATGGTGATCAGAGAAGGTGAGAACAGTAAGGTGTACCAGGCCAAGCTTGACAATGGTCAGCTTGTAGCAGTGAAAGTACTCAAGAACACGGAGTCCTCAGCAGAGGACCTTTTTCATGAAGTGGAAATTTTATGTAGTTTAGAACATGAGAACATTGTTCCGCTCATTGGGTATTGTTACTGTGAAGAGATTCATGCAATCATTTATTATCTACTAAAGGAAAGCTTGAATCAAAGACTAAAAAGCCTTAGATGGAATGAGAGGATGAGGATAGCAATTGGCGTGGCGAAGGCACTGAACTACCTCCACTCTCGCTCTCCTCCAATCATTCACAGAGATGTGAAATCATCCAACATTTTACTCTCCGATAATTCCCAACCACAAGTGAGTTGTATTTCAGCTTGTCTTATGACGTTGAAGTGTTTTTTACGACACCATTGTAAATTTGGACTGACACGTGTTTGGTTTTCTATACATAGTTGTCAGGTTTTGGAACAGCAATAGTACATCAGCAACAAAATCAGCAGGTTTCAGGGTATGCAAAGCCATTTCATGTCGTTGGGACCTTCGGATACTTGGCTCCAGAGTATATGATGTATGGAAAAATTGACGAAAAAATAGATGTCTATTCGTATGGGGTTGTGCTTCTGGAGCTGATAACTGGTAAAGAGGCTATTCTGACAAACCAAGCATCTAATCATGAAAGCTTAGTGCTCTCGGTAAACAAAGAGGACATGAAAATTTAATTTAATCCAAAAAGAATTTTGTTTTGTTTATTGTTATCAACTCAATGTTTTGAGCTTTTAAAACCATGTGGCTTGCAGGCAAGGTCTTTACTCAGCTGCAGCCTATGCGAACGCCTAATTGATCCTTGTCTAAACAAAGACTATGACAAGGATGAAATGAAAACGATGATGATGGCTGCTCGCCTCTGCCTCTTGCATTCATCTTCTAGAAGGCCATCTATGAAAACTGTAAAATTTCATTCTTTCCCACAAGTTCCCCTTTCTATTTAAGACAAAAATCAGTTATTCCCTTCATTATAGTTCTATAACAAATAAAACAAACAATTTTTTAAATAATTTTTCAACTAACTGCCTATTAAAAAACAATATCAACCTGTTTTTGGTTTGTCACTGTTTAAGAGTGGATGCTTGCAGTTTTTAACATGTAGAGTTGAAAATGCATAAACACAATAAAACTTGAAAGTAAAAGGTTTATGGTGTTGTTCTATTTGGCAGATCCTGCAGTTATTTGAGGAGCCAGAGCAAGGGCTAAAGATGCAGAGGAAGAGAGAAGAGCTCCTCAATGGGATTAGTTCCAAAGGCGAACAAGCTTGTGCAGACATGGTGAGTTAAATTCTAACGGAATTCTCATTATAGATGACAGCTAGTTGTAGAACGTTCTTGAAATTAGGTTTAATCATTTCATTTCTCTTTGTATTTTATTTCTGTCTGCTAGTAAATACATGGGGAATATGTTGAATAATATGTATTTTTATATTTTAATTAAATAATGGTGTCTCCATTCGGATTATTCATTGAAACTTATCTATTTGGTATCTCTGAAGTCCTAGATTATATAGATCTTTTGTTATTTTTTGCTTCAGAGTTCTTTATTCCACTTTTTCTGTCTTGTATTGCTCAACTTGTACCATTATTAGTTCTATTCTTAATTTGTAATGTTTGATTTGCTCAATTCACACACTAAAGTTCTTGAAATTAGGTTTAATCATTTCATTTCTCTTTGTATTTTATTTCTGTCTGCTAGTAAATACATGGGGAATATGTTGAATAAAATGTGTTTTTATATTTTAATTAAATAATGGTGTCTCCATTCGGATTATTCATTGAAGCTTATCTATTTGGTATCTTTGAAGTCCTAAATGATATAGATCTTTTGTTATTTTTTGCTTCAGAGTTCTTTATTCTACTTTTTCTGTCTTGTATTGCTCAACTTACACCATTATGAGTTCTACTCTTAATTTGTAATGTTTGATTTGCTCAATTCACACACTAAAGTAATTTTTATGCCATTCTCTAGCCTATTCGAGTCGTCAAATTTTGTAATAAAACTATGCGTAGGTTTCAGTTATTCAATGTCGACAATTACTTCTAAACACAATTTTTTTTGTAACATGCTTTTCTTTTCAAGTTAAAAGTGGCTTAGAACAAGAACAACAATATCCTCCAAACATAACGATAATTTTATTGAATGACATAGATGGCGGAAATAATATGGGCGAGTGATGGAACAAATGATACTTGCCAATGAGGTCTATGACAAAATTTTGAAGACTACAAATAATATGGCTACCAAACTCTTGTCTAGAGTCTCCAACAATAACTTAGGTCAATGTCATAAACTTAAGACACTGTCGAAAATCAGTTGGAATTACAAAAGCAAAAATAACAAAAAAAAACCTATGCTTTACGTATTGCTATATTCCTAAACGGATAAGCTGGTCGTAGGTTCCTTCTTCCATTGATTGTGAAATAAAATATGTGCATGATAACCTCATTGATGCAACAAAAGTAATATTGCTGAAGAGCATCTGTAAAATCAACCCATAAACATGAATAGCATCTATAAAATCTACAAAAGAAAACAAATCTAGAGACACTCTTCCTGAAACCCAGCTACAGAAAATCACCAAAAATAACAATAATGTGGAGTCGTCAGTGGGAGAAAGTAACCATTTGTCTGCTATAGTAATAAAATCCCTTCTCGTAGTGACTAGTGGAATGGGAATTCCATTTCACCTTTCATTTTGGTCCTTTTTCTTCACTAGTTTAAGTTACTGCAATTTCTCAACTAAGAAATAAACAATCAAACCATTTCAATTGATATATTTGATAGTTAATACATAAATGAGAATAGACCAAAAGAAGCATATAGCCTCAATGATGAACACTTATTTGGCTAGAATAAAGAAGCATATAGCCTAAATGATGAACACTAATTTGGCTAGAATGAGTTACACATTTGATAGGGACTGATCAAAAAGCTAAAACTACTTGTTGGCTAATTGTCGTCGGCCAATTGGTGAAAGTTAATTGGGGTAACAAATCTTGGAGGACCATCATAGAGTGTCACAGCTACCAGCTGAGAAGCAGTTTGTGTCGGGTGACACATATCCCAAAATAGGTACTCTTTGCGGTTCACACAAAGATTTGATGTCACATTACATGGGATTTCTGCATTCAGTCTTCCTGCTCCACAACAAGCCGTCTCTACATCCTTCAAATCTGAGAAAATTGGAAGAAATTTTAAATAAATAAGATTATACCCTACTTTTATTCAATTTTCACAATAATCAACTAAACTAAATATGTCACTTTCTATCAAGTTTCACAGGGAGAAGAAAACATTATCCTTGAAATTTTGTCTTTTTGTGGCCAAACACCTCCTTAAGAGAATGCTTCAGTTTCAACCTATAATTGAATTTTAGAGAGAATTGCTTACTGAAATGACTGGGATTTTGTATGACATTAATGATCAACTCATGTGTGTTTCCAAGTGAGTACTTCATCTCCGGAAGCTCTGAGCTAATTTTTCTCATCAGGGTATCTAATGCAAAATGGAAAGCTCGGGCAAAATTGTTCATTCCTTCCAGACAACCTCCAGTAGCATTGTAAACTCTCCGAGCTGGACAGCATCCAATTGGAGGAACACCTATGATGCCAAATTTTCTAGCCCCAAAGTTGTATAGAGTCTGCAATTCCGACATAACCTCTTCAGTTTCATTAAACAACTTTACATAGTGAAATTTAACTGAACTCAGTGTCATCTTTACAAAAAAAAGAAGAAGATGAATTTAGTTACACTTCTGTCTAATGGCTTGCATTACCTTAATGTAGGCCTCATACTGATGCATAAGATGGGTGATATATAGTACCGGAGGCATAGTATTATTGGTCGAGAAATAGACAAAGATGTCATTGCTTCCAACACTGACAAAGAAGAGAGATTTTGAGAGCATTTTTTTAGTTGCATCTGAACCCAAGACTGCTACACGATTGTTGTAAACTGTGAAGAATTGTTGGATCTGCTTTGTCAAGGAGACAACCTTCTGTTGGTTGCTCCATATGGGGCATTTGACATTAGAAGAGATAGTGAGAGCTTGAAGCGAACGAAAATGACATTTTAACTACAATGCTCTAAAAAGTTTCAATTTAGATATGTTGATAGGAATGTACTTAATTACCCTTGCTTCATTCGTAGTGTCAAGGAGCCCGGCTCCTCCTGAAGCGAAGTTTGCACCTCTGTGTTTACGCCTTTTGAGGCTAGATTGCAGGCTAACAAGAAATAAATAAGGTTGTGGGCTTCTCTTAAACCCCATTAGCTTGGCTGATCAATGAAGCATTATGGAACTCAAAGTCAGTTTAAATAAGCATGTGGCAAGTTTCTTGTAGAATATATATATATATATATTTTTTGTAATACTATGTACTAACCGAGAAAATCAGCACTGTTGAGGCCATTGCTGAACCTCCCAGTTGGTCTTGAGTGGGCAAAGTCGACGCCATTGAAAGGAAAGTTTGCTCTTGCTGTGCTCCCTGGAATGTAGGTATTAGTCCCAACATCTACAATTGAGTCCCCGAATATATATATGGCTGGAACAGTGGCATTGGCCAGCTGAATTGTGAACGTTGCTATGCAAAGGATTACAAAAAGTGAGGAAGAAACATATATATTTTCCATGACAAATTGAAATGTTAAGCTCTGCTTTCCCTGAATTCGATATCTTGTTACAATGCAGAAATTTGATTTTATGTTTCTACAAGCTTCACTTCAACCTTTATATGCAAAGAAGTTTCATGAAGTACCAAAAGGTACCTCTAGCGTTGACACACGCACTGACACATGCTGACACAAGCACTGACCACACGCTGAGATGTGCGCTGATGCAAGTGCTAAGACTCTGTTTGTTTGTTCTTAAAATTAAAACTGCTTTAATTGTTTCTAAAATATTCGTTATAATTCCGTTTTGAGCATGGCTGGCATCATTAGTCTTGTAATTATTTTTTTCTATAATTTGTTTAAAATCAACCCATAAACATGAATAACATCTATAAAATCTACAAAAGAAAGCAAACCTAGAGACACTCTTCCTCAAACCCAAATATAGAAAATCACCAAAAAAAACAATAATGTGGAGTGGTCAGTGGGAGAAAGTAATCATTTGTATGCTATAGTAATAATATAAGTTCGAGTAAAATCGCCACCAAAAATAATTTTGTGTGATGATTTTTTGCATACATCGTTATAAATTGACAATTAATGACCTTTTTTCGTTACCATTTTTTTATAAATTGTCGCAAAAACTTATAATTAATAATGCTTTTCTGTAACAAAATTTTTAAACTACTGCTGAAAATTGAAAATTAGTAACTTTTTTCTTGACAATTTTTTTAAATTGTCACTAAAACTTATACTATTAGTAACATTTTTAGTGACAAAATTTTTATATTCCAAGAAGTTTCATGAATTACCAAAAGGTACCTCTAGCGTTGACACACGCACTGACACATGCTGACACAAGCACTGACCACTGACATATGCACTGATGCAAGTGCTGAGACTCTGTTTGTTTGTTCTTAAAATTAAAACTGCTTTAATTGTTTCTAAAATATTCATTATAATTCCATTTTGAGCATGGCTTGTATCATTAGTCTTGTAATTATTTTTTTGTATAATTTGTTTAAAATCAACCCATAAGCATGAATAACATCTATAAAATCTACAAAAGAAAGCAAATCTAGAGACACTCTTCCTCAAACCCAACAATAGAAAATCACCAAAAAAAAAAAATAATGTGGAGTGGTCAGTGGGAGAAACTAATCAGTTGTCTGCTAGAGTAATAACATAAGTCCGAGTAAAATCGTTATCAAAAATAATTTTGTGTGATGATTTTTTGCATATAGCGTTTAAAATTGACAATTAATGACCTTTTTTCGTCACTGTTTTTATAAATTGTCGCTAAAACTTATAAAATTAATGACCTTTTTTCGTCACTGTTTTTATAAATTGTCGCTAAAACTTATAATTAGTAATGTTTTTCTGTGACAAAATTTTTAAACTATCGTTGAAAATTAAAAATTAGTGACTTTTTTCGTGACAAGTTTTTTAAATTGCCGCTAAAACTTATACTATTAGTAATTTTTTTTTGTGACAAAATTTTTAAACTTTCACTAAAAATTGACAATTACTGAATTTTTTTTAATAATGTTTGATAAAAATGTCATTAATTATCATATGATCTATTGGACAATAAGTCCACCTATTAGGTCCTACACATAAGTCTCCCTTAGTTTAATTAGTGCAAGTTCTCACTAAGAAATAAACAATCGAGCCATTTCAATTGATATGTTTGATAGTTAATACATAAATGAGAATAGATGAAAAGAAGCATATAGCCTCAATGATGAACACTTATTTGGCTAGAATGAGTCACATATTTGATGGGGACTGATCAAAGAGCTAGAACTACTTGTTGGCTAATTGTCCTCGGCCAATTGGCGAAAGGTAATTGGAGTAACAAATCTTGGAGGACCATCATAGAGCATCACTGCTGCCAGCTGAGAAGCAGTTCGTGTCACGTGGTACAAATCCCAGAATAGGTACTCCTTGCGGTTCATACAAAGATTTGCTGTCGCATTGCACAGGATTTCTGCATTCAATCTTCCAGCTCCACAACATGCCGACTCCACATACTTAAAATCTGCAAAAATTGGAAAAAAAAGTTGAAAACAATAAAATTATACCCTACTTTTATTCTATTTTCACAATAATCAACTAAATTATGGATGTCGCTTTCAATCAAGTTCCACAGTGTTTGTCCACAGCAATTGGCTAAAAGAATAGGTATAAAAAAACATTATCCTTGAAACATTGTCCTTTGGTGGCCAAACACCTCCTTAAGAGAATGCGTCAGTTGCAATCTATAATTGAATTTTAAGGAGAATTGCTTACGGAAGGGACCGGGATTTTGTATGACATTAATGGTCATTTCATACATATTTCCAAGTGAGCTGATTTTTCTCATTAGAGCATCTAATGCAAAATGGAAAGCTCGGGCAAAATCATTCATTCCCTCTTGACAACCTCCAGTAGCATTGTAAAGTCTCCGAACTGGATAGCATCCAATCGCTAAATTTTCTAGCCCCAAAGTTCTATAGAGTCTGCAATTCCAACATGACTTCTTCAGTTTTAATAAACAACTGTACATAGTAAAATTTAACTGACCTCAGTGTCATTTTTACAAAGAAAAGAAAGATGAATTAAGTTATGCTTCTCTCTAAAAGCTTGTAATACCTTAATGTAGGCCTAATACTGATGTATAAGATGGGTGATATATTGTTCTAGAGGCATAGAATTATTGGTCAAGAAATAGACAAAGATGTCATTGCTTCCGGCACTGATGCAAAAGAGAGATTTTGAGAGCATTGTTTTTGTTGCATCTGAACCCATGACTGCTACACGATTGTTGTAAACTGTGAAGAATTGCTGGATCTGCTTTGTCAAGGAGACAACCTTCTGTTGGTTGCTCCATATGGGGCATTTGACATTAGAAGAGAAGAGATGGTGAGAGCTAGAAGTGAACAAAAATCACATTGGAACACACTAAAATGCACCAAAAAGCGTCAATTTAGATATGTTGATAGGAATATACTTAATTACCCTTGCTTTGTTCATAGTGTCAAGGAGCCCGGCTCCACCTGAAGCAAAGTTTACACCTCTGTGTTAATGCCTTTCGAGGCCAGATGGCAGGCTAAGAAGAAATAAGTAAGGTTCTGGGCTTCTCTTAAACCTTATTAGCTTGGCTGATCAATGAAGCATTATGGAAGTCAAAGTTATTTAAATAAGCAGTATGGCAAGTTTCTTGTGGAATATTTTTCATTTTCTTAATACTATGTTGTCACGACCCAAACCCGTCCCTATAAGTTTAGCATCGTAACCGGCCAGTAATTCTTGGATTACCGAAGGCTTCTAAACAGATTAACAAGATTGAGGGGCTAGCGGAAGCAAATACATAAATATAGTTGTCCAATGAGCTGCGCTGACTTATATGAACAGAATATTTAAAACTTTAAATACATATTCAAATATCATTCATACATTATACCCACACACATTACAGTATTTTAAGTACAGCCAACGACATCAAATCAAGTCTTATATATACAGAAACGACAGAACTTCTGGACGCTTCGGGAACCTCCATGTGAGGCACAATGGTTGGCTGACAACAGAACACAGATCTAGACAAAAGCCTTTCGGCTCGGGCTCCAGAATGCTCACCTATACAAATATACACACACAATGAGCTAAAGCCCAATGAATAACATTAAGATAAAGAGTTTGGTGAACGAAATTCGAATATATCATAAGCTGAAAATAGACCAGAGCATAATCATTCTCATATCAGAACATAATAATGGTACATCCCATAGAACACATCACAGAACGTCTTCCGACTAGAGTAATCGGTTCCGGATACTGATTAAACACATATCACCACAATGAGGCTCGGGCTCCAGAATGCTCACCTATACAAATATATACACACAATGAGCTAAAGCCCAATGAATAACATTAAGATAAAGAGTTTGGTGAACGAAATCCGAATATATCATAAGCTGAAAATAGACCAGAGCATAATCATTCTCATATCAGAACATAATAATGGTACATCCCATAGAACACATCACAGAACGTCTTCCGACTAGAGTAATCGGTTCCGGATACTGATTAAACACATATCACCACAATGAAGTGGCTAATGAGATCTCGTAATTACTTGTATGTCATGGACCCACATTTTCATGCCGTCTCCCATGACTTGGGACTGTCTATGGATGCCATAATAGATTTCAAACATGGACTATTCGTTCACGAAAATAGATATCATTTCAGAAATCATAGCTTATCACATTTCATTTGGAACATAATTTCATATAAACGCATCTTTATGATAACGTTACTCACAGTGGTTCCAGTAAGCGGTCAATCAATCCTCGAGTCTTGACCTACAATCACAAAATACATAACACAAGCATGTCTTATCATTACACATTCATGTGGCCAACACGGCTTAGCTTTCTTATTACATAGGTTTCTTGCTTAACACATTGCTCAAAACATACTCTTAAATATCATAACTTAGTACATTCTACACTTAGTGTGTTTCTAATCCATAACCTCATTATCAAAGCTTAATTAGGTCTTAGGAATGCCTAAGATGCAATGAGGATGCCAAAACATGCCTTGGAATACTTAGGCAAAATTTCTGAAAATAAGGTCCACGTTCGAGCGTAGATTTCCTCGCTCGAGCGGACATGCAAAATGAGAGGGGTCACTCGAGCGAGACTTCCTTCGCTCGAGCGATCTGCAAACTCGGAGAAAGTACTGGTTGGTTTCAATCTACGCTCGAGCTACAACTTCCATGCTCGAGCGGACATGCAAAATGAGGATGGTCGCTCGAGCGCATATTCCCTCGCTCGAGCGATCTGTAAAAGACATGAAACTTCTGGGAGCTTGCAATTCACGCTCGAGCGGACTTTTGGTCGCTCGAGCGGAGTCCATGCACTCAGACTGGTCGCTCGAGCGTGAACTCCCACGCTCGAGCGTTGATGCAAATTCTGGAATTTCCAGATTTGATCACCAAGCTCAAAACTCGAATTCAATCTTCCAAAACACATCTCTTGGGCCCCAAAACTTGAGATAACATAGTAAACTTGTAAAACATGAAGAATTTAGGATCATTTCATAAAATCATGGCCCAAGGTTTTGTCAAAAGCTCATATTTCATCTTGAAATTTAAGAAACAAAGCATGCATGTAAAATCTTTCAAACTCTTTTCTTCAAAACTCAAGAAACTATCAAGTTGAGCTTATAAGCTCCATGCATGTAAGAAATTCTCTTGCAAAACATGAACTTAAGTGATTAACATGACAATTCTAACATGCAAGCACCAAATAACTTACTAATATAACTTAGATGCTTAAAATCAAACTTAACATGCCAAAACTCCATATATTCATGCATGCATGTGGATTTCTCTTCCAAATTCTCTTTCAAGACTTCAAAAACATGGGATTGACTTACAAAACTTGATGAAATATGCATGCATGTACCATTCAACCTCCATATTCAACACAATTGGTGAAATACAAAACTAACATGGTAAATTAACACCTACATGGGCATGTATGTATGAATTGTAACTCAAATCCTTATTCTAAGCTCAATGTGCACATTTAAACTCATAATCTTCATGTTGATGACTTAGATCCATAAATTAGGGGTTGAATTCATACCTATAGTCTTGAATTAACTAGATCCTTGCATAATCTTGATGAGTTCAAGCCAAAGCCTTCAATTCTCTTCAATTTCTACACACTCTCTCTCTAAAGATGAACTCTCTCTCTCTCTAAAATGTAGTCTCAGAATTTTCCACTCAAAGAAAATATGTGTGAGTTCAAGAATGAGTCTAAAGCCCACTTATAGTTGGAATGCTAAATAATACAACACTTAGAACATTGGTCCAACTAAACACAACTTAATTAATCGTTTTGAATGGATCTTTAATAAAATTTGCCATAGCGTTCTAAAAATTCCAAATAACACATTGATGTAATCAATTTCGGTTTCGGATGCCGATAAGGCTTTCAATTTTTATATTAAAGCGGAATTTCAAACAGATATTTCTACAAGTAACAGATAGAAAGCCAAAATCATGCAAACTACGGAATGAACGCATAATTTATTTTAATCCTCTCATTAACATCCTTAAATACGGATTAGTAGCTAATTACGGATCGAGGTTATTACAGTCTCCCCACCTTAAGAAGTTTGGTCCTCCAAACTCGAGTCATCTTATATCAAAGAAATGATGTCCAACAAAAATATAACTTTAACTCTACAAAAGAGAAGCATAACCATATTCGTGACCTAATCTCGACCTTAGCTTCGTACAGAAATAGAATCATAAATCATATACAGAGATTAGGGTTTGTAACAAAACAGATTCTTATACACATCCAGATTTTAGTCAAGAACAGATTCAGATACGTGTTCATATTCATATTCTTGTCCAGATCATACATAGATGTCACAAGTCTTGCTTAAACATACATGGTGCGCTTATTAGCACAACAGAGCAGATATAGAACAGATGCAAACATAGCAGATACATAACAGATACAGACACATGATGGTTATAAATAACTAGTTCCATAAAGGAACCTCCGAATCCGGGTAACAGAACAGAACAGAAGCTGAGACCCTGTGGTAGGGCCTCCGGTACGGGTAACAGAGTGCAGACAGAAATAAGTTCCATAAGGGAACTTCCGATACCGGGTAACAGCTAACAGATATCACATAATACCAAGAGTCACACGAATACATATCAGAGATTAGACGATTATTCATTGCATAACACATAATATTTCAGAAAACAGATCTCCTTTAGACATACAGAAAACAAATACAGTTGAACACAACTTTACTACGTTATTAATCACATTACTTATATCAAGTACTTATCGGGGTCATAGATTCACATTGTTTCCATTTTCATAAGTAATTTCCCCCGTTAAGTTACAGAGATTTGATTATTCATTTCCGAGTCATTCATCCGGTCTTTGTTCAACTTGGTTTTCAATTCGGTAATCCATTACAGTTAGTCCAGGTCACCCAAAGTATAGCAGAAATACAAGG